TTTTTTTTTTTTTTTTTTTTTTTTTTTTTTTTTTTTTTTTTTTTTTACTTAGACATTTGTGTTTCCTTCGAACTCCTATTTTGTGTAGGGCTGGGACGACACTGCAGCCATGCGTGACTGGCAGGTGGGGACGGTCCTGGACGATGGTGGCACAGAGCTGGAGGCTGTGAAGTGAGTGTCAGGCAAAAGGGAGAGAGGAAACCAGGTTTTACCCATTTGTTCAAACGTCCCTCCTCCTGACACCCCCTCAAGCAGGAAACACTGTGTGTGTTGGCGGGGGGGGGGGGGGGGGGGGCCACATAATAGGAGCAGTGTAGGCTGAACAGGCAAGAGGAGGTAAAAATAAACAAGATGATGTGTGTCTTAGGGGGAGGAATATTTTCTTGAGGGATTAAATCATGGCGTGAGTACATAGCAAGCCACAAATTACTGAGGATGAGGCCCGTGCTGTTCAACACGCCAAAGGATGCTGGCGATTGCAGGGAGGCTGTGACGGAGCAGGGGGCTTTCTGGGACGTCCTCAGCAGCCCCTGTGTCGCTCCTGACCTTCCGAGTGAGGGTCCGTGTATGTGCACGAAAGGCAAGAGGGAACGCCGGGTCCGTTGGATGTACACATTGAGGTAAAATCTTTTCAACGCTGGGTCTACTGGGAGGCCTTCAAAATCGTATCAGCTCCATTCCTTCCCGTCGTCTATAAGCCCATGATCGTCTCAGCTATCCGGACTGCTGTCCTTAGGCTGGCTTCGAACATTCCTGCAAGGGAAAACACATATGCTATTGTTGGACTGATGATCTACCAAGACGTTCTTCTTCACATCTTACCAAATCATTTCTGGCTGCAAGAAAGACCATTGCCCAACCCGCCCCCCCCCCCCCGCCTTTTTTTTAACTTTTTTGGCTACGAGCAAAATCAGACTGGCATTTGGATGAAATCAACTGCCCAGTTTTGTTGTTCGTTTAGGACTCGTGCAGTGAAATCGAACCTTGGTTTTCATTTCTGTAGGTCAGATAAGTGATTTCTTTTGCAATGTGTGATGTTTGCAAAGCCTTTACCGGTCCTGAGGGTCATGCTTGGTTCATCTCCAGAGCCGAGCTTCTCAGTCAAGCCTAGTCTTCTCTGCAGGATCTAGGGAAAGGAGGGTTCCTACTCAGCGGGGCTGGTGGGGCCCGAGACCCTGCATTCTAGCTCCCCGAGAGCTATTGCCCCTCTACGGGCAGCAGAGTACAGATGCTCTGCGGCCAAATGGGTCCTCGGTATGTCCAGATCCGCCTTCTAGAGAGAAGGGGGCGCCCTGAGGTGAACACGCACTTGCACCTGTGCTGAAGCACGGGCCCGAACAGGGAGACTCCATCCTGCGGTCGAGGGGCGCGCTCTGTGCCCTCCCATCCCTGTGCTCACCTCCAGCACCCTGTGTCCTTCCTGCTGTGACCAGGGGATAGGGTGACCTGAAAACAGGTCATTCATTCCCAGGAGCTCTTTGTCATCCTACCCGCCCCCGGTTTATCGAGCTGGGCCATGTGCCACGAGCGTGGGGTGCACGGGGACACTACTGGGAGCAAGGCGGCCACTTTCTGCTCCCTACACAGCCTCAAGTCTGGTCTGTTTATTATTCCTGGAGCCTGCACTGAGTTAGTTCCCCCTCGTGTCCGTCAGAAGTGGCTTTTCCTAGAGAAGGTAAAACACGGCTCTGTTTTCCTAGACCACACACCTGGCAATCCCTAGATAAGGCTGAGGCTCATGCCGTTCTTTGCTCTTCCTTCCGTTTACCTTTCCCCCTCTTGCCCCCCCTCGTCTCCTCTTCACTTCACTTATCTCCTTCCCTCTTCCCCTCACGTGCACCTGGCTTGGCATCGGCCGCGGACAGCCAGCTGTCCATGCTTCTGTATGGGCTCCTGTTGTAGCCCCAGATTGGCACTCTTTTGTTAACCGTTTATATTTTGCAAGGATACGGGTTTCTTCTAAGCAGCAGGATTCAAGGAACCCACTTGCGTAACCATATAGAGTTGTGTGGCCTGGCTGACTCGGGTTTTCCTTCCCCGTCCTCTCGGCACTGGGCACAGGGCACGAGGCAGCTGGCTGCCCCTCTGTGTCCGCCGAGGCTGGAGCCCAGAAGGGCACTGCTTTTGTGGATGGGCCTCCGGGAGACAGTGACCAGGACAGATTTTGGTCTGAAGGCTGTGGTCAAAGTCCCGGAGACGTATCTGTTGCTGTGATCCCAAGACTGTGTCCAGCTCGCCTTTATTTTCTGAGCCCCGTGTGGGGTTTATTTCCACATCATCTTCCATGAAATCACCAGAAATGGTTAACAAGGGGAGAGATCGGCAGGAAGAGAAAAGCACACGATAATCTGGAGACATTCAAGTCAGTGCAAAGACAGGTGGAGCTGGGCAGCGGAGAGCTGAGAGACTCAGAGGGAAGAAAGCCTCGCTGTGCGGACAGGTGAGTTCAGGTGTGTGCGGATGAGCACGTTCGTGGGCGCGCACACACACGCACACACCACATGCAACGGCAGCTTAAATTTGGGCCAGATAAGAAGCACACTGAAGCTCCCATAGCAATGGATTGTGGTTTCGTGGTTGGTAATAGATGTGAAACAGGATTCCGGGGGCGCCTGGGTGGCTCAGTTAGTTAAGCGTCTGACTTCAGCTCAGGTCATGATCTCGCAGTCCGTGGGTTCGAGCCCCGCGTTGGGCTCTGTGCTGACAGCCTGGAGCTTGGAGCCTGCTTCGGATTCTGTGTCTCCCTCTCTCTCTGCCCCTCCCCCACTAGTGCTCTGTCTCTCTCTGTCTCTCAAAAATAGATAAAAATAAAATGTAAAAAAAATAAAAAATTAAAAAAAAAAAAAAAAAAGAAGTAGCCTGTGTGCCTCTAGGATACTATTTTTGTAAGGGGAAATCCTCTGCGTGTTCAACCAATAAGGATTCAGATTATGACCAGGAGTTAGCATCCTAGGATGCTTCCATTCTTAGCTGAGAATTTTTGTAGGGAAGGTATTTTTATTTGTTTGTTTGTTTGTTTGTTTGTTTGTTTAACATCCAAATTAGTTAGCTTATAATGCCACACTGATTTCAGGGGTAGATTCCTTTATGCCCCTTCCCCATTTAGCCCAACGCCCCCTCCCACAACCCCTCCAGTAACCCTCTGTTCTCCATATTTAAGAGTCTCTTGTGTTTTGTCCCCCTCCCTGTTTTTATATTATGTTTGCTTGTAGGGAAGGTATTTTGCCTCGTATACTGAGGAATCTTCATCACCGTTTAACGGTGGCTGAAACGCACCTGCCTTGGCCCCTTCCAGGCACGCCCCCTTAGGACGCCGACCCCTGGAAGAATTCCAGTCCTGCTCAGAAGTGCAACAGATTGGCGGCTGGTGGCCCACACTCAGTGCCGTCTGAATGCTGTAAGGGGTAACCAAGGGACCAACTGACTGATCGTACGGCTACTCTTGAAATCATGACACCGAATAAGAAGATTCACGAAGTGCGGCCAAAGCATACAATGTTTACATAATAAGTCATCTGTACCTAATAATACCAGGAGCTCACATTTATTGAGCATCTATTATGTGCCAGGCACCACCCTAAGTGTTTTTAATCTATTCACATGTTTAAACCCTCTGCGGCAGACGTCCTGCTGACCCCCACAAAACTAGACCGGCATTTGGATTAAATTAAACTTTACGGTCGTGTAAAGTAAGGCAGAGCGGTCAAGGCGTCTGTCCTGGGCCACGTGGGCAGATGGTGGGAGCAGTGCTCAGCCCTGCCTGGCTTGTAGAGCCCACGCTGAACCCTGGCTGTGTGACCTTTCCAGGTATGTGCAAAGGCTACGGGGGTGGGGTGCCGTGCATGGTTTCGGAAGGAGGGTACCCCATTCCTGGCATGCTGCCCAGTGGCCCTACCAGAAGTCATGCTTGCTTGATCCTGGGGGTGCAGCTCTGGGTTCTGGGGTGGGACAAAGCACAAGTCCCAGGGTCCCTCCGACTCAAACAGGAGCAAAGGCCTTGCTAAAGAGGGGTGCTGTGGGGCGCCTGGGTGGGCTCAGTCGGTGAAGCGTCCGACTTCAGATCAGGTCACAATCTCAGGGTTCATGAGTTCAAGCCCCGCATCAGGCTCTCTGTTGACAGCTCAGAGCCTGGAACCTGCTTCGGATTCTGTGTCTCCCTCTCTCTCTGCCCCTCCCCTGCTTGTGCTCTCTCTCTCTCTCTGTCTCTCTCCCCCCCCCAAATAAATAAACATCTAAAAATCTAAAAACAATAAACAAAGAGGGGTGCTGTGCTGCACCTGCTCCCTTGGGGCTGGGGGACAAAGGAGTTCCACCACCTCTGGTTCTCTGCGTTCAAGGCTACAAAAGCCTCAGTCCAACTCCCCGGGCCTCCCGCCCCCCCTCCCCGCGTCCTGGGGTCCAGTCTCAAACTGTTCTATATTCTGACTTTGTAGTATAACCATTCACACCCCTGCGGCCTCCAGAGCAGGGCTCTCCCCTTTCAGCATTTGAAAGGATTTGCTATTCCTGCATTCTTCCCCTGGAAGCAACAGGTCCTGACAGGGCATGCGGTTGGAGCCTCCGCCTGCGTGCCCCAGGTGGACTGAGGCAGGCCAAGAATGAGAGGGGGAGGTGTGGGGCGGCCAGAACGCAGTCACCTGAGAAAGGAGGAATTCAAGCCCGAGTAATCCCTCGCCCCGTTCCGTGGGTGCCCCTCTCCCCACCCGCCTGGATGCTGCCGTCTGCCCTCCCGGAGCCCCACAGGCCAGGACGTGGGAGGAAGGATCCAAGCAGATGTGCAGGGCCTCCCCAGCACGCGGCTTCACGGGACACCTGCCTGCCTCTCGCTGTCCCGGTGGCCTCGTCGGCCCCCCTCCAGCCGCACCTCCACATGGCTCACCCTCGCCTCCCTCTGGCCTCTCTCCAGCCACACTGCCGTGGGCTGTGCCGTGGCTTGCGTGGCTCTTCGGGGGGTGCTGCTAGGGAAAGGACCAGAATGTTCCTTGCTGTTTTCTCGAACTGTTGTTCTGGAGGCCTCTTCACGCCGCAGCACTGCCTTTTCTGCCTCACTAGATCTTTCCCCCGGTTGCGCATCCGGTCAGAGAACAATTCCTTTCCCTCACACCCTCCTCGTTCCTTCGGTCATGGGCATTGCTACAGCAACTGCTATGCCTCTGTGACTGAAATTTCTAAAAATACACTCTCACGTTTAACACATCCTGCCCTCCCCACCCCCCTTTCTAACAGACCTCTCTGGACAGGGTGGGAGTTTCTCCTTGACCACGTACTGGGAGTTCTCCTCTTTCCAGTTGAACGGGACAGTGGCTTCTCTGCAAAACTGCCTCTGCTCACAGGTGGCGAGAGTGGCCGAGAGGACCTTTATAAAAGGACACTGAGCCACAGCGGCGGTGGTGACGCTGTGCTGGCTCCCGGGATGTGCAGAGAGGCTGTGGGTGGCAATCGGGAGTTCTAGGCCTCTCGAGCACTGAGTTCTGGGGGGGGCTGCGGGAGTCACGGGGCCCAAGGATGGCTGAGGGGGGAA